CCCTTCCTGTCTCATTCGGGGATGTGTTTTGGGTAGCAAACAAAGAATGGCTCTAGGTATGTAATGTATTCATAATTTGGCTCTATCATCTCACTCGGTACATATATAAATGCCTCCTCCCAGAAATTCAGCTCATTCAGGCCAGATTTGGGCTCTGCATTCAGGATCCATTGCTGGAGAAGCCTGATATGACAGATGGTAAACAACAAAAGATTTTTCAGATATCTCTCTATCACTAATAGCGGCTGAATTATCCCGAATTATCTAGCTACATTTCAAGTCAATCTGTGCAGAAGTCACCGACAGTGTTGTCAAGGTCAATCACTGACCGTCAATAAAGGTCAGTGATATTGACCTGTCAGTGCATTGACGGGGTCATTGACCAGTCAATGACCGGTCGATCAAGACTTTCGGAGTCCCGGACCGCGACAATGTTTGCTTATAACAAATAAATATTTCTGGTCATTATCAAGTCATTATTTTCGCGTCATCGACTCACCGTCTCCTGAAATCCACTGACGGGTCAATCAAAAACGGTCAATACATCGTCCATTGACCAGACAGCATTGACTGACCCGGTCAGACCGGGTCAGTGACAACACTGGTCACCGAGATATAGGCAAATCGGTGGCGGGGATCAGAAAATGCCCAAAACGGCAATTTTTTGATTCGCGCCTTCGGTACTGACAACGGCTGTAATATCATGACAACTTGTATGTGCTCGCATTTCTTCTTCGCATAATCGAGTGCTAACTCTCCGCAGCCTTAATCGTTGGGTGCATTTGGATAGTGGACTGGCAAAATCGGAAGTTTGCCATTGACACAGTCTCAACACACAACCAACCTCAGAGCACACTCAGTCATGCGATACGGAATATAATCGAATCTGGGATGATCTACACGGTCGTTTCCATCTTCACACTCGCCACGTACACGATTCAGAGCACCCTGCATTATCCCGTCTCTGCCCTGGTGAGCGGTACGTCAAAATCTGGGGAAGGCATCTCACTCTCCTGCAGGAGATCCACAGCGTCGGAATCACATTCAATTTAATCCTCATTCGAGGCACTCAAACGCCTCGGCCGCACCAGGACACTTCGTTTACAGTTTTTCGGTTTGCACAAACTCAAACTGGTGCTACGACGAATGCAGGGACCGATGGGAATGACCATTTTGCTCTTTCCCACCTTGACAAAGAATCCCAGATTACCGCAGTCGACACGATGTGATACGACTGTCTTGTAGAGCTCGATTCCCTGACTGACAAGATATTTGTACAGTGTGCAGTTGTTGTCGTAGATGACGATGTCAGGCATCGAGCCGTCAACGTGGAAGACTTTCTGCAGCATGTCCTGATTTCCTCCTTCAGTGGGATACTCGGCCGAAGATGAATAAGAGATGGACCACATACCACAGTCTGTGATACACTCTCCGACCCGTAGAACGTACCCCGTGCGACGATAATCCCGCACGGCCGCACAAAGATCTGCTCGTTGTGTGCGCGGCGCCGGCCGAAAAGTGAGATTGGTTTCTAGCAAGCACCATGTTTTGGTATTCCTAGTCGCGGCGAGTGACCGAGCAAACCCGACCCAGTGTATTCATGCTATCGGTGTGCGTGGGAAGCCAAGGTCACTACAAGACAGGCTGTGAGCAAGAACTTCTTCAGCATAGGCGAATGCGCACTCACGAGAAGTCGAGAACTTGAGAAGTGGACTTCCCGCATTGACATCTTGAGGGAAAATTCCACCCTGACAGCTATCAGCAGGGGGGAGAAGGCTCTAGATGCAGCTGAGAAGGCAGCAGCGCCTTGAGGTCAAGATAAGCACTAAAGATAAAACAGCTCAGGTCGCCTTAGGCTGGGGGAGCGCACAGCAAGGCCGCTAGAACGTTGAAGATCAGCGATGCGAGGTTCTAGTGCGGGATGGTAATTATTGTGGTGATATCCAGCCGGTCCAGAATATCCCAATTGGAGCTTCAGAACTGGAGCAAAACTCCCCATCAGTCGCTTCAATTTGTTCTTTCTGCGTTGAAACTTCAAATGGAGGTTAGACCACAAAATCCACAGCAATGCGCGCCAGAACGCAGAAGATCAGCGATGATCTAGCGTTGCGGTCCTAATGCGAGGTGGGCAGGAAGGACAGACTCTAGGGCTTGGGAAGGTGAATGGCGTGCAATCAATAGGTAGACGGAACGCGATCATCGCAGGCCATGAGATTACGAGAGACTACGAGTCCTGCTGCTCGTCAGGCAAATTGAACTGGAAGTTCCGAAAATTAGGAGTATTAATTGACCTGATTTTGTTGCTGCGCTGCCGAAGAGAGGGCTCCAGACAGCCTTGAACACCACAAGTAGTTGGGCACCACCGACCGCAGTAACATTTTTGGCTCAAGGCGGTCTAGAACGCAGGAGATCTGGAAGGCACCGATTCTAGTGCAATTAATCTAGTGAAGTTCCGATAGTGAACCGTGCGCAATAGAGATCACTGCGTTTAGTAGAATAGAACGAATCATCACTGGGACGCTCAAAACTGTGGTAAAGCGGTGCGGACGAAAAATTCAGAGGAAGTCGCTATAATGACGGATAAGAAACTTACATTGAAGTACTCTTCTATCCCGCCGAACGGCGAACGGGGGCCACAGAATTATACGCCCTGAAGAAGGACCGAGCTTCGAGAAATCAGCACAGAAAGTTAATTGCGAATGCACGTCTCAGTGGGAGATGCACCTTCGCTCGCTTCCGGTTCTAGCGTAAGTTCCCAGGGCGGTCTTCGGAGGGAAGAGGAAGAGCTACGGCACCAGACGCCCCAGGATATACGTCAAGAGGCTGGTGGGCCGACCACCCGTGAGCTGCGTGCCTCATTGCCAATAAAATTCCCGCCGTTATTTGGATTCCAGAGGCGGATGAGGAGCACGAAGGGGATGGAGAAGAGGAGACAGTACGAGGTGAGAAGCCCTATTCCGCGGTGCTCTACTGCTGCCAGGTTTGCACGCTAAAAATGAACGGCGCTTGTTTACAGCATCGCGCGCTTATTTCAGTGTCATTGACATTTAAGCCAGCAACAAGAAGCTTCTCGCATACCCGTCTTGGTACTCTGGAGATATTGCTATTATGTCCAGGCCAATCGTTGAGTTTGCTTGTTGGCGACTATTAGTATGCCATTCAGTGGAGAAGCTCGAGGGATTTTCTGGCCATCCAAGTTGGCGGACCTTTGAATTTTCTCGAGACAATTCTGGGACCGACATAGAGTATCGGGTATACTGTAGTATCGCACAAACGGAAATCAAGGGAGTTACCCCCCCTGGAAGTCTCCGCGATAGAAATTGAAGCTGAAGATGTGTCAAATGGATTGCGGGCGACGCTAATGCGGATCATCAGAGGATGCGTACTTTCACATCAAGGGCGGCGCGCGCCGTCGCGAGGCAACTAAAAGCATTTAACGTTCTAATGAAGAACTTTGAAACCCGCGCAAATGAGGGCGAGGGCCTTCTTACCGCTAGATGCTGCTGTATGCGGTTCTAGTGTAAGTTACCAGGGCAGTCGAGAGGCTGGAGGCGCACAGCTGGGGTTCCGTCTTACTGAACGAGATATAGAACACGGAATCGCGACGCGAACGCTGTTCCTGCCAGGGCAGAGGCGCGATAATAAGGAAATTGATGTGGAGTGGCCCGAGAGATGAAGCGGGAGAACCGTCCGAAACAGAGGTGCAAATTTCCGCGGACATAGACCAATAGAGGCATGGAAGATTGCCACCCGGAGGAGGGAATTCTGGGGGAAAGGGATGAGAATCTGTCATTTTCGGAGTAGTAGTGACCTTCGTCACTTCGTTACTTCACTTAATTTTGCGAAGGTTCGTGACCTTGATGGAAAGCTATGAAAGCTCGTCACTTTGGTCGGTTTTCAGGAAAGTTCGTGAGTTGTGCAACTCACACAAATCAAACGCATCAATCTGGCCATCACTCCTCCTCCCCGTTTTCTTCATATAGATACCTTGGCCTAACACTAACACTAACACTAACCTCTAACCTCTAACCCCCTAACCACTAACCTGAACAAGCTAACCCAAACCGCTAACCTCTAACCTCTAACCGCCTAACCCGAACCTAACCGGCCACTCGCGGCAAGATGTTTGCCCATCACTCCGTGATGTGCCAAATAGTCACCGCTGAACAAGCTTGGGATGTGAACTCACGAACTTTCATAGAAACTTATCAAAATCACGAGCTTTCGCAAATTCCCATCAAAGTTACGAGGTTTCGCGAACCTAAGCGAAGTAACGAAGTGACGAGAATGGCGCGGACTCTCATTTTCGGGAGGCCCGCAGAGCTAGAAGCGTCGTTCCGGGTAATGCACAACCATCCGGAGTCCATTTAACTCGGTTTAAATAGCAATGCAGTCGTCTCACAGTAGGTACATGAAAATTTTGTGCGGCAGGCCTCGGTTTAGGAAGCCCAGACCGGGCCATAGTTTTCGGCAACAGAGAGCAATATACTGCCAGGGGCTGTCGGCAAGTCCCAAATGAGCTCGTAGGTACCGTTTGTGACCCAATTGAATCTCCACTAAGCTCTCCACTGAACTACGAGGCCGACTTCAACTTGAAGTCCAATCTCAGGACCAGCCTTCATTTCTTGCCAGGTTGGTTGTACTTGCACCATCGCTTTCGTCCGTGGAATATCAGAGACGGTTTGAATCAAAACGTCTTTTGAGGCTGGTGTCTTGTTGGCGGCGGAACGACATTGGCGGGATGCAAATTAGGTGCAAGACTAAGGGCAAGCGCATAGCACCCGCGTGCCAATGAATGCATATTTTCCCACGCAATTGTCTTTCTTCCCTGTGTCCCTCGTCGAGCAGTGTTGATTATTGTTATATTGAATGCCCAACCAGAAACCTCTCGACCACCTAGAAATTTAGGTTTAACGGGCCCTCTGACTTGTATATTAGCCTTCATTTCTACATTTCGAGTTGCAGCCTAGTAGACTTGACAACGATCAACGGCAGGCTGTAGCCTCGTGGTCTAATGGTACGATATCAGCCTATCATCAAAATGTATAACGCTGCAAGATGCGAGTTCGATTCCCGCCGGGCTGCACTCTTTTTTTCTTCTTTTGTTAATTTACCTTGAGTCGTCTTTTTCCATACATAGCTAATATGCTTTCGCAATGGTACGAGACAACTGAACCTGCCTCCGATTCCGCTGACGAAACCATGTGTGGGGGTTTCAGCCTTCGCCCTTAATTTCCTGCCAGCTTTTTTCACTCGTCGTCGAATACTGTAAATATCAGAAAATTTTAGAGCTAGAATACCCAAAGTTGGGAGGAAGATATAAGAATACATGGATTTATGCCAGTACTTGTCCTGTCCAATTACCCAAGCCTGTCGTTCATGCTGAATATTTTCAGCCCCAGCCCCCGTGGTCTAATAGTATACGACACCATTTAAGGGTTCGATTCCCGCCGGGGCAGTCTTCTTCCAGCCACAACATCTCACGCTGACAGTGATACCTAGACTCGTGACCAGTCTGCCCTACAACGGCAAATCTTAGTGCAAGTCTAAGTGATACCAGATGATTCAAAATGACTGGTATTTGTATGTGTGTGGCTGATTGAGACGCGACACGGAGTCACGTGATACACAGCTTTCCTGACGCCATCAAATTCAGTTTTTCATTTGTCAAGGTTTCGAGAACCTCAGAGGCTCTACCGAGCGATTTTGTTCCTGGACGGGCCTGTGAGTGGTTTTATGCAGTGATATTCATCTTCAACTGGACCGACTTTCGCAGGAGAACAGCGGGGAGTCCAGAGACAAAATCGGCACGGTACGGTGTTCTTCAAGTTTTTCTCACTTCACTAGGTAGATTTTTTCCTCGCTCTCTTACACAGCTAAAAGTAACAACTAGCATGGCTTCGACTCCGCTCATCCATCCTCCAGACACTTTCACACCTGCAGTCACCCGCGACCGAATCGCAGAGCTCGACGCGCAAATCGTTACACTTCAAGAGTCCATCGTAAAAATCAGACGCGAACGACGGTCATTAAAATCCCACCTCGACGCCTACACCTACCCGGTATTGACCCTGCCCAATGAGGTCGTCTCTGAGATCTTCCTCCACACTCTCTGCCCATCGTCGCCAGACCACGGTTACGGGGTGCCCTCTAGTCTCAAGGCTCCCATGCTCCTTGGGCGAATTTGTCGTAAATGGCGAGAGATCGCCTTATCGACCCCGTCGCTTTGGAGTACAATACAGTTACGGCTCGAAGGCATCGATCCGTCTTACGACAACAAACTCTGTCTTCTGCAAATCTGGTTAGCTCGCTCCCGCAGCTGTCCATTGTGCATCAGCATCTTTTCGGCGCTACCTCCCGCTACGCACGATAATTTCTCTATCCACGAGTTTATCGAAGCTATCGTGCCTCACTGCGGGCGTCTGGAAGGACTTTTTCTAACCCTCCCATTTCGCGATCTACCCCTCATCCAGGGAGAAATGCCGTTGCTGCGTGTTTTGGCCCTCAGCGTCCTGGGGATCGAAAGTTCAACCGGCCCAGTCCAGGTGTTCGACCGTGCCCCGAAACTGGAAAACGTCTTGATGATCGACGCTTTCAGTCCAAGCCTAATTGTTCTTCCCTGGACGCAGATTAGTGGGATATGGGTACGAGCCGAGATCATGGACGAACTCATCGAAATTCTCCCTTTAATCGTGAACATCGTAAACCTGTTTGTGGAGTTCCGATCTGAGGAACAAGAAATCATGGAGGACATCCCGGACATCCCTCCGCTGCTGCATTTGCAAACACTGCGGCTTTATGGTGCTCATCTACCCAATTCTCTCGCATTTGCGCAGCTTTTGGAGAAACTGATACTTCCCGCTCTCAACAATTTGCATGTCTCTACTCCCTCCCTCCCGCCTCGCGCCATCAAACAATTTCTCTCCCGGTCCGGCTGCCACCTGCCGTCGCTCCATATCGAAATACAGGGGTCGTTATTTTCGGAGGCGTATCATCGCCGAGTGTTGCCAGCTGTGGGGACATTTGTACACGAAGACAGTCCAGATGCCGACCCCCTGGATGGATTGGTTACTTCCGATTCCGGAGATGACGGTACGGAAGAGGGCAGCGATGAAGATACTTCGGACGAGGAAGAAACAGGCTCGGAAGAGGATGGCTGAATCATGATCACCGAAACACCGCTGATTATGAATACTTTGGATCCTCAGCTATTCTAAAATTCTATATGATTTCGCTTGAATCTTTGTTCTTGAGCCTTCTGCCGCTCATTAATATTCCCTTCAAGCCTCTGGAATCTGGAGACGGAAATGCAGGTATACGTCTGAAGCACAGGCGCAGCACCAACCGATTTTCCCGGCATGCAGTTTTCAAGATGTTCCCCAACTGGTTGGCGTTCTTATTTATCCAATCTGCGGTTTTCCAGCCGAAAATTGATCAATTGTCAGTATGAAAACGACTGGTCCGAATCTATAAATCAGGTGAAACTCTGAATTCAATGATAAAGTTGGATCCACCTGAGTCGTTTATATATACGTCGACAAGCCCCGAGACAAGTTAAGAATAAGAATCAGGATCGACTGTTGATGCCCGAGATACCCGAAATGGATTTCAACCAGAAAAATAGACACTTCCCGCCCAGAAACTGCACCTGACCCGGTCTGAATAACTTCATGTACATGATTATTTGTGGAATCAAACATTTGAATAAATGGATTTGTTCGCGAAGAAACTCTAATCGGGTGGGTGCAGTTGATAATCAACACTTCCCCAGCAGTACTTACCGACTTCCGCACAGGTACCGGTGGATCCTGCAGTTGTAAGGTGTAGCTTCATGCTCACGATCGAGTCGTCTGCACGCACAAATATCCTATACACATAAATAACTCAAGTTCAGGCCAGAGGGCGGAAAGAATAGCGGGGGGAAAGTGGTTAACAAATATCATAACCAGTTCATAAGAAATATTGGTAGATATAAGGCATTCCGAGTGTCTAGATTAATCCTCAATTGCCCGGCCCCGTCAATAGTCGTCAGTGCCGCCTCAGTGCAGTCGCGTCAATTTCTCCTGCCCATTCAGAAGACGATAGCATCAACTGTTCCAAGGCATGGTGCCCAAGCCCCAACTTCACGGAAAAGATCTCCGCGATATTGGAGTCGTGGCGACAGAGGTCTCTCAACATCCCGGTCGTCCACCGCCTAACCAATGGATCACTGGAAATCATCAGAAAAGGGAGATGATGCAGCACCTGCGCATCAACGACCCATCGCGCGCCTTCAGGCGATGCACAAATTACCCACAGGGCGAACACCGCACTCTCAAGTACACCGGAATTTTTGTCACTAATTCACAATGAAAATAGGTCAACGTTAAGAATAATAATCACCACTCACGTTAAGAGCGACCGCATCCGCGGACAAGGCGCGACCACCAGCAGAGCAGCAGCGGCCGACTGGTGGCGCGACACATGCGCCAACAACCAGCACAGTGATGCCCTAATGGCGGGGTACTGGGACGCAAGCAGTTCTTCAATGAGACCGGGATCCTCGACAAGCGACGCAACTAGCGTACACGCCTCCCCTTCCTCGGATATCACTCTGGTATCAAGTTCTTCCAGGACCAACAACTGTGTCGCCGGTGCGATGTATTTAAACCTGCGGGAAGCGCATCAGTTACAAGGTTCGTCGCAGCGAATACTGATAGCCTGGTAACGTTGAACGTACGCCAGATAGCTGAAATATACATCAATTATGTCCTTCGAAAGCCTGGTTCCGCGATTTTTCTTGACAAAGGTGCGTGCCTGTCGGTGATACATGAGCCGCATCAAAGGCTTCGCGGCTGCATGGATAGAGATGGTTGCGCCAAGAGGGTTGTTGTCAGACCACCAGCTATAGGTACTTTGGGGAGTCGGTACGCGCGGTGGTGACATGAAGGAGGTAACGAAAGAGATGGAGATAAAGTGGGAGTGAGTCGATTGGCTGTAGTCCGCAAGACTCCGCTCCGATCATGCATGATCGCAGTTAAGTTGGGCGCTGGAGGGTCATGTGGAAAATTCACATCAGGCGGCAGAAGAAAGTATCGAGGGTGGTATGTTGTGCGTGTCAGAAGTTCAATGTCCTACAGCCTTCCACAGGACAGCCTGTTCGCTTTGGATCGGGGATGCACGACAAACGCGACTTGAACGATAAAATCATACTCTGTCACGGTAGAGTACTCGTTCGGTGAGAGTCGTACCCAAGTCATGGAAAGACGTGGAGGAGAATTTAACAACGCGAGAGTGGAATTTGTTCCAGCCAAAACACCCTGTCTACAGCAGCACGCACGCTGGATATTATTAGCGTGTGTGAATTATACCTAAGCCTAAGTTTAGATAAATAGGATTTGACAACCACAAAAGAATAAAGACGGAGGAGAGCACTGGAGGAGTCACAAAAACAAAGCTCAGATGGATGAGATGTAGGATATGAGACCGCAGTTACCACAAAAAAGAGGGTCAAATTGCAGTACTCAAAATTAAACGTGGCACGATCGATGCCCCGAGTTCAAGTAACTTAAGTGTTCCGGTATTTACAACAAAGGCGAGCTTCCATTATGCGGTGAAGTGAATCCAACGTGAACATCCGACTGATAGCTTCCATAATGGCGCAATCTATTATATGTAGCCTAAGGCTCCCTCGGGTGTCGGCAAAAATTTCAAGGATTCAATGCAGCATGCTGGATGAAAAGGCCCCTGATTAGGATTTTTCTTATGGCATTGAGCTTGAATCTTGGGGTGAGGATCCCGTTAAAAAAGTCTGTTCAGGGACCATATATTAGGAGCAGAAATTTCCACAAATCACTGTCGATGACATCCACCGTCTTCTTTGCATTAGTCCGAGCCACCACTTTTTTGTGGATGGAGCATTGTGGGGCAAGGATTACTGGACACTTGCCCACGAGTTCCTCGCTGCGAAACGAGGGGGCAAGGTTGATGGTACGTGTGCTGTGACAAGTGATTCAATACCGTCCGTCCTGCAGCATCCCAATATATTATTTCGTATACCGATGACTGGTGGAGAATGCGAAGGGTTGCGCTTGATTTTTGTGTT